ATCAAAGTAGAAGTAATTTTTTATTTAACTTTTATAATACTTCTAAGTTGTCAAACATGTACTAATGTATAATGCAGTTTGCTATAGACTATGTGGTGTACTATATTTCCCTTTAGCATTCTGTTATTCTGGCATTTTATGAACTCTACTATCAACCTTGTAATTCAAGGTGTTGTATATATATGTTTCTATTGCTTTAATTCCTCATATATATTATTGTATACATAGGAGTGTATATAAGAATTGAGTAAGTTGACTCTCCCTATTACTACTATATTTCCCTTTAGCATTCTGTTATTCTGGCATTTTATGAACTCTACTATCAACCTTGTAATTCAAGGTGTTGTATATATATGTTTCTATTGCTTTAATTCCTCATATATATTATTGTATACATAGGAGTGTATATAAGAATTGAGTAAGTTGACTCTCCCTATTAGATCTTTGTTGGAGTTATATAATAAAGATAACTTAAAACTTGGGCTTGTAGAGGAAAAGAGGAAAAGTTTAGTCCCACATAGGAAATGGGATAGAAAAAAGGGTCTTTATAAGCCTTCCCTTTCTCTCCTATGCCTAGAAGAAAATAAAAGGTTATGCTCAACACCACACATGCGCGCGCTGGCCTGGCCGGGCTCAGGTTCGGGTCGGGTGGAGTGCGTGGCCCATGACCTGCGGACACGAATGCAGCTTCGGATTAATGGGCCTTTAATCTGCTACATTTTTATTTTTGAATAATTAAAATATAATTTTTATTTTTGAACAATTAACATGTGATAAATATTTTGTAACAATTCTGAGATATTAGAACTCATCCATAGTGATGTTTGTGATTCAGGAAGAACAACTAGAGGGGGTAACAAATATTTTGTAACTTTTATAGACGATTGCTCTAAATATTGTTACCTCTACTTAATTAAGACTAAAGATGAAGTCATAAACAAATTTAAAATATATAAAGCAGAAGTTGAAAATCAGTTGGATAGGAAAATTAAAATACTAAGATCAGATAGAGGTGGTGAGTACACTTCTAATGAATTAAAACAATTCTGTGAAGATAATGGAATTATTCATGAAATAACTGCTCCATATACACCTCAATCTAATGGAGTAGCTGAGAGAAAGAATAGAACACTAATGGACATGGTAAACTCAATGTTAATTAATTCTGGTGTGCCAGAAAATTTATGGGGAGAAGCTCTCATGACTGCATGTCATATACTAAATAGAATTCCATTCAAGAAATCTGATAAAACCCCTTACACAATTTGGAAGAATAGAAACCCTAATTTAGATCACCTAAAAGTGTGGGGGTGCTTAGCAAAAGTCAAAATACCTGAGAATAAAAGAAAGAAGATTGGCCCTAAAACTGTAGATGGAATTTTTATTGGCTATGCTTC